CAAACCAGCTCACGCTTCACCAATTTAACACACAACTTATACTTATTCTTAACGTGAGACATGTTCACCGAGGGCGTGAAGTTTTGATGGCGACTATAACGGTGTCAGCAAAGCGCAAATTCACGGAAAACCAAGACCGGGTCGTATTTTGCGGCAAGGCGCAGCAGTTCGGTTTTTACTGATGTCATTTCCTCCTCAAGAGCAATAATACGATTGTGCATTTATGGTAATAAAGCAACTCTATTGTCATAGTAGACAACTGCTTATTGTTTTTTCGTCAAATTAGGTGAGGCACTTCTCGTACTGATGGCATTGCCGTTGTAGACGGCCAGAGATTCCTGTTTGTTCTTCCTAACTATGACATCTCGCACTTTACTAGAGCTAGCAGGCATTTCAGTGTTACTCCTAACAGTTAGAACTGGCTGTAAATCGAGTTATATCGTCGACAGTTGTACGCAGTATAGAATTGAACACTCAGAAATTAGCCGAAGCTGATCTACTTAGTAGAAATGCGATAGAAACTGACCGTTCTAATTCTGCGTGTTGATTGGTCTTTCTGGTCCTTGGGGGATTTGGGTGACCACGTCTATCGATCTAATAATTGTAAGGCGTGGTTGTAAGGTCAGTGATCAGCATTCACGTTGTATGTAGGTAACAATGGGTCAGGCTATTGAGCCAAAGGCTCCGGATGGAGCCCTTCAAGCAAAGTTCCGAAGCACCACCGCCACCTCGCTTGCGGTTAAGCATCGGACAGTCGGGAACCGGGTGACAAAAATTTGGGCTTGTTGCAGGATCACAATTTTGAATCAGTTTTCTTAACTACATAAATAGTTTCGATATCAGACCGAGCAAATTGGTTTATTCCGGTACGTGGGATCTTGCAATGTGAAATCTCCAACTGAACAGGGGAGTCGAGAGAAGCATGTCGCTAAGTTATAAATACTAGGAAACCGAGTATCTCGGCATCTGCCAGAAGAAGTCGAACTGCCGCTGGTTCGACATTCTCAAGTTCCTTTAAAAACAGGAGACTCAACTTGATTAACCGGGACAAAAGCTCAAAACAATCTTGAAGCCCCGGAAGAAGCAAATCGAAACGTCCACAACAGTACTGCGGGAGCATCCACCGAGCGAATAAGTCTGAAACTCGATCACCGAATTTTACATCGAGCCATGCACCTGTGTCCACTTTGATGAATGGTGCATAAGCATTTCCTAGGTTGAACTGACACAAACCAATGACGCTCTGGGAATCTGGCTATTCTTGGATAAACAGCCCGACGGGGCTAACGAAGAAGCCCAGCGGCATCGTTGGCCATTTCAGACACATTAAGTGAGTCATTTCTCCATCCTCAACATCCGCAATCATTGTTTTTAATCAATGAAGAATTAAGCCGACGGATTGGTCACATAAAACAATATGAAGCAACCCAAATTCTCATGAATAACAACTGAACTCAAAATACTCATCTTAATCTGTGGATACACCAGTGCGCAGCTCATGCCGATAACCGCACTCGTACTTCGAACGAAAAGGTCCCCGAACCGATTCTGCAACAGAGGACTACAGGAGCAGGAGAAAGTTAGGCAACCTGGAACAATGCTTCAATGACCAGTTAGATTTCTGGGTCTTCATTGACCCTGACTGTCAACTCGATGCCACGTGGTCCTTCACATGCCAGGGCATTCCGGAATATGAGTGGCTCATCAAAGATATCTTTAACCCCTTGTTGGAAGGGCGGGTTTGGCGTGAATCACACCTACGTGTTTTCAGAAAGGAAAGTGCCAAACGCAAACACCCCCGGAGCGAAGAAGGATAATAGCAGAACAAGGACAAAAATGACTTCAGTAGATAGCGGTCCGCGTTAATAGTGCATGCCGAAAAAAGCCAGAAGTTAGACCGAATGCCATTTTCTCGACTTGAATGGGGAGCTATATTAGCTTAATACAACCCACGATAAAACTCGAAGTTAAAAACTGTTGTGGGGGAACGCAATTCCCAACAAGATCGCGCAATCCGAAAGCACTTAAGATATAGACTCTCGCATTCATGTTCAACCAGCCATGGTATTTGCAATCCACATTTCTCCGACCACCCTCCGCAACTAGAAACGGTCACTTCCCAGGCACATTCAGATCATGGAACATGCTAAACCTTGCCTTCTGTGATATGGAATACGCAGACTGTTTTTCGTGGAAAAATTACGTGAGTCAACAATCTCGGTAGATAACTAAGGCTGGGAAACGCTGTATAGGCTTACTGCTGGACTAGCAAATGAGCTGGTTGTGAAAGACCGTTTCTTTCTTCTCTCAGAGTGGTGTAGACGCGTGTGAGGTTCGCGTTAATTCTAGTCCGTCGATATAGATCCTGCGCAGAAAATGTTTGGTGACAAAATCTCGCGGTCGCACGAATACAAATTACGTCGGCTACTTTTAGTGCGCGACTCGTCCCGACAAATAATACTCGTTAAAAGTAGGAAATGATAGCGCAAACAGACGCGGGTTGCGTGGAACAAATGCACTGGTACCCAAAGAACAGCGCTTCAAAGCGAGTTCGATCGGACAAGGAACGACTATTGTTGCGCACAGAACTGGATGCAGTTGTCCTACACTGATAAGGGAGACTGTAACTTGCGCATTATGTAACCGCTCATCTGAGAGAAAGAAGGAAACAACAAAACGAAGTATTGCATTTAAGCCAAGCAGCTGTTCATGTTTTGGGGTGAAAAGCTACATTGCGGTTCTTTTACTTTAGTAATTGTTATATTTTTGACTCATATCGCCGAGAATGATGTAGCAGCCGTCGTCAACGCCCATGCGACCCGTCAAAGTCTCAATCACACGGAGAAACGCTGAAACACTGGATGTCAGTCATCGGTGGAGTGCACAACCATATATTATATCCAGTATCACTTTGTGAACCAGATACACGGTCCATTTATACTAAAGACATCGGCATAATATTTGTCTGTGACTGCGTTCTGGTGAATTATCACGCGTATCTAATGGGTTCACCGAGAGCGTACTTGTTGAGTCCTTCAGTCGATGCCCTGTAGTTGATCCGTTGGTGTCTCATGTGATGTCTGTTGTACTCAACACTCAGACTGGCTGAGTCGCCCTCTACACAAGCCTGTATGTCGGATGCATGTGTTTGTTAGTACTACACTCAGCTCAGTGAAATCGTGGAGTGGCAAGTTGATAGTATGACAGGAAAACAGATTGCTCGAGGAAATTGATGCTTGCCTTCTTTGACGGCGTTCTTGGGGTTAGCTTAAACGATGGTTCGTCTCGCAAGGTTTCACATTTGCTTTCTCACTCCTAACTACGAATTGATTCATCTGGCTATGAAGTTGTTTCTCTGTGCTTGAACTCTCTTTTGCACACATTTTTTCAAACTGTTATGACGGCATGTGTCATAGCAGTCGCACATTCCACACTACAGTAGCTAAGTGATTGTTGGTCAGACGAGCTGAACTGATCAAAAGCAATGTCTTCTCTGCTCTCTCACACTTTTGATCTTATTTGTGTCCGCAAAGTTTAATCCTTCCGGAATGTTTTTCTCACTAGCAGTGTTGAATGAGTTGTCCTATTGCTTGCAACCGTTATGTTCAATCGTGATGCAACGAACCAAATAGCTCGGTTTGATCCGGTTAGTGATAACAGAGACACTAGAGTTGTAGATCAAGCTCATCAATCGCCTTCCTCGGTGCATCATACCAAAACGAATGACGGCACATATGCTAAGTTACGCAAGTAGCTAGGAATGTTCATAGCCAATTGCAATGGCATGTCATTTAAATTGGGTACCTCGCATCAGATTGTGAATGAATGTTTTGGGTGCTTTTTTGATGACTCGATATTGCTAGATAAATTAACTCGTTTCCAACATACATAATTGCTCATGGTCTCTTTGAACTAGCGACAACACGGTCTAATATGATTTAAGAATATGGTGTTTCTGAGGATAATTGTGTTACAGCTTACAGACGCACTGTACGACGCATATGTTACCGTTCTATCGGGCGCTCCGCCCAACTTTTCTTGTGGCAGGTGATACTGCTTACACACTCGCAGTGTCGTTTGATACCTAACGTCCGTTGAATTTAACGAAGTCTTACACCTTTGTCACTGTTTATTCTGAAAACACATTGGACTAGTTACGATAACCACCCACCCTTCGATCAGCGTGATCGTGGTGACAGGTCTTGTCTGCTTGGAGAGAAAGAAAATGTCGACGGTCTCCAGCACTGTTTTTTGATGCTCCGCTGATCTCCGTGACTTCATGGATAGTTATTGTGAGTGCGCATCCACAGGAACTTCGGATCATCTTGGACGAGGAATAAAATAACCTACTGGAATTCGGCACGTTGGAGTCAGTAAATTGTTCGGTTCGGAGAGTGCCGATAACCGCGATAGAAGAGTCTAGTGGAACCGTCAAAGTTCTTGCCAACTCTACAGTTTCCAGTGTAGTGTTGGATGTGGATCAATACTCACTTTCGTTGCTAAACAATCTAGCGAAATCCCACGATGAAAACAGGTTTGCAGAACTGGGGCTCATTGACACGTATCTCCGGAAGCAGTTGAATAATCCCGAGTCGTCAGTTGCTAACATTCATTGCGTGTTATTACAACACCAAATTCGCACAGCTGGCACGAAGATAGTACTGGCAGTGTTTCCACGGAAGATGGACAACAGGTTGACCAGCACTTCGATACGTGCGAAAATCAAACGGAACAGAGATAAATAGTATGTCTATGTTTACAGCGCAAATAGACCATATATCTGGTTCATGAAATGATAGTGAGCGTAATACAGCGCTGTGCATTCCACCGACGACTGACACACCAATGCTTCAGCATTTTCCCGTTTGACCGAGGCTATGAAGGGTCGCATGGCATTACCGACGGCTGCAATAACATCTTCGGCGATATGAGCCATCACAATAAGTAAAATAAAAGAATCACAATGTAGCTCCTTACCCCAAAACCAGAACAACTGAATGGCTTAAATGTAGTATTTATTACACTACTTTTTTTATTTCGTTCCAGCTCTCGGGCGATCAATTACGCAAGAATCAACTCACTCTCGCTTAGTAATGCAGAACAACTGCATCCAGTTCGTTGCACATCCTTGCTGGTATCAAGACTAAATAGGCGAAATTTCGTGACGGACAAGGTGGCGGGAATCACGTAACACATTGACAATGATTCACGGAAGTGCATTTTGAGCTCAGTCCGGTCTCAATTGTAATATGTGGCTTTGCACCACTGTCTGAATGGATCTGTGTGCTTTTAGTGATAAATCCCAATCCTTATTCTCTATAAGGATGCAGTGGGCGAGATCGCATCCTCTGACATTATGTGATTATAAGCACGATCAGAATGGAATGCGATATTCAGGGATGGAAGAACTTCCCGAGCTGTGAACAATGTACTCGACCATAAAATAGCCGAAGTACACTTGGTGGCATACGATATTTGCAGACTGGACCAGACTGACAGTGGCGGACACGGAAAGCTGAATGATCACATTGAGCACCGATCTACCCTCCATCCGCAAGCGCACGTAGTATTAAGGTCACCAAAAAGTGTAACAGAGTTTATACACATTTCATCAAGAAGTATTCCTGGTCACTCGGATTGCTACAAAGTAATGTCGCATGCCTAAGGAGACTGAGTGTTACGCTATCCAGTCATTGACCTTCCTGCGATCCTTCAGGCGCTCCGGTTCGGGTAAATCAACGAAATTAGGAATATCTGGCAAAGCTTCAGGCATCGGGGCAATTCCAGGTTCCGGCTTCGGTCGGTTTGTTTTGTGCAGCCGGACACGATTAAAGTAACCAGGCTCTGGGCGGTCCAGATTAAGGTGCTCTTTCATGCATGAATCGAAGGGGTACTGGGTCGTACGGCATCTAGATGAAAGTAAAGGGAAAGAGAAAAGACAACCGCTGATGGTCATATCATATGTCAACCAGCAGCAGCAACAGCAACAAAGGTACATCAGCACCTCATACTACTCATTCGCCATCCAAAAAGAAAGGGGCCTGAATAAATTTTCAGTGACGACAGGAATAGAGAGTGGGTAACTGGCGTGAAGCGTAAGTAACTTGAGCGAACATTCATACCACATTGCCACAGCACACGGACAAACAGTTGGACATCGTGGGAAGATAAAGAGATATCGATGTAAGTGTGTTTCGAGACAGTCTATCCGTTGACAGCAGAGGTAATTAGCTGACGCTCTTCCAATAAGTTTCGAGAAAGACAAACAACGTACCGAAGTATGAACACGGTGGACGGTTGTCCCGGAAGCTGTGGTTGCCAAAGTTGGAATCGTGATACATGTAGCTTAAAGCAAGATGGGCACTTTGAGCTCAAATTTGTGATAAAAGCCAGAAATTTGCTGATAGTTCAAAATCAAGCCAGGACAATATGATGTATTGCGATTCTGAAGCGCTCGCGTCGACAAACCCCTACCTGTGTCCCGACGACGAGACGGTGCATGTCCCATCGTTGATGCAAATTTGCCTGTGTAGCTGTGGATGCAGCTTTGTTGGGCACAACAACCGTTGGAATTCATGAGAACACCCTAAAATGGTTACTCGGTCAGATGGGATCTGTGGCACAACACATGCTACCATCAAAAACAATCAGCACGCACGCAAGTAAAACCCGTTGAACCATCCGATTCAGAGTGCGTACGTTGAATATTGCCGAGGAAATTGTACAGAGTGGCCAGATAAGGAGATTGTTGAGGGTAGACTATAGAGTAATTTAGTCACATGGGAGCAGATGGCAAAAGTAGATTACACCAGCTGGGAAATAGTAGAAGACGATGAACAGTGCGGATCATGAACAACTGAAGAGGTAGAAAAAAAGAATGGAGACATCGGCAGTAGCATGTTTCAATCATATGACCTACTACACGACGACTAGTGAAAAGTAAAACCCAAGCCTGTGTAGATAAGCATGGCTATAGTTAAAATGAGATACCATCAGGGCGTCCAAATTGACAGAATCAGTACGGTTCGCAACTGGTGTTTTTGGATCAGAAGCCTATCTACATGACAAAGGGAATATGATTAAGGTAGATAAGGTGAAGCCAGTTCACATAAATGAATGCCGTCCCCGATGTGACTCCTCAATCTGTGAGACTGAGGCGCACTGAGAAACTATTATCCTCGAATGAGCATCTTCAAAGCCAAAATGAGTGGGAGTTAGCAAACCGTTGCAGCATATTTTCGTCATTAAGGAGTGATATGTTTGCTTAAGTTGACCAGCTAGCAGTGGCAGAACATAGTCACGGAGACCGCATTTCGTATCGTTAATGGTGACTGTTTCTTTCAACTGAATGTCAACCAGGAATATCAAATGAACACAATGGCTCAACAGAAAGTGTTCGTATTCAATTGTCTGGCGGTCAGTAAACGAAATGATATTCTGAGCTCAAGCCAACTTGACTGCCACAAAACAAAGGTGAGGTATGCCATCAGAACCGTGCCTGTCGATGAAAGAACCATTTGTATCCCGACTTTGCGCCTTCATAACACTGACTCCTGTGGGGCTTCGACGAAATGAACAACCTCAATTTCGCAACACACAAATAGCAAGTTAAGTGGCAACGTCATCCTTCCTCGACAAACGAGGTGCAAAAGGTATTTAATGCGTCATCGAAAAGATATGCAAGACAGACTATTCACTCAGGTTGAGACCTCAGAAGAGCGGAAGGATTTCAGAAGACTCATTATGTAAGCAATCACAAGAGGTGCTTGACATAAGGCCTCAAAAATGACAAGGTGGATGGTATCAGCCGGTGAGATGAGAATAACAGAACGCTGGTCCGAGTTGTAATGTGTTTGAGTTCGAAAAAGCTTGCCGTGAGTAAGAGGTAAGTGAGAAAAATGAAACTTGGTTGCTTGTTAGTCACATTGGCTGAACAACGAGAAAATAAACTCAACGGACATACTGTAGAAGAATCGGTAGCTGGGCCACTTGAACCTGCCTGACACACTGTAATCACAGACACTGCCTCCGACGAGACGAGACAAGAAGTGATGACATTGAAGTGAGAGAAGACATTATGTCCCGACCTCTCTAGATCGCCGCTGAAAGATATTAATGACTGAATCGTGGTGTAGAGCAAAAATGACCTCTAAACGATGGCTTGTAAGACTTTAAAGAACCCGAGGTCTCGCGAGGAGCATCGTTACAACAATATACGCTATAGTACCTCTCAAGTGCTCATATGTATAACACAGCACGGTTCACTGATTCTCGTAAGAATGGAATAAATGAGAGTAGAACCGGCTTTAGCCCTAGTAGAGTTCGCATCGATAATAAATTGCACAGCTGCTCCATGTAGTAAGATTGGCATGGGACTCTTCCATGACTGGAAGACAGGCATTGATTATTTCTGTTTATCGCACTGCTTTGTGACGACGCCGTATTTGACAGGACTCGGCGAGATTTTCGTTCGATTATAAACATCGCAACCTCCCCAAAGTCGTACAATGGTCTATAGTAAGCATTCCTCTGATTTCACCCCGACAAACGAAATGCGTGCAGGCAGCACAATTCCTCCCCACCCCCCCCCCCCAATATTCGACTCTGTGAATCTCACCCGAAGTGTTCTCGATGTTGCTCGTTCCAAACAATGAACTCCAATATCGGTATTATATTTGTCTAGAGTCTCCAGGTAAAGAAAACCAAAGTTGGAAGTGGAACTCCGCATGCAGTGATTGAGGACTGCTAATACACTTTTGTTACAAGGAAGTGGCAGGAGAATTTTAACGGTATAAATGAAAATGTATCCCATTTAGACTCAGACAGAGACCCACCACATTCCCGGTAAAGCACTGTATGACCGGTTCATCCTCTCGGGAATCGTCAGCAGTGCGCATTCCATTTGATTCATGTAGGACACGAACTCGCAACTCGACAGTTGGCAATCTGTGGTTGAGGCCAATGAGCCACGAGAGACAGTAACGACCATTGTGATTAAGTTACTAGATGTGATATAGCGCCGCACAGTATCGAGTTGCGGGTTGGGGTCCCACAGGGGTCAGACAGAATGAGCACTACTAATGAGTTCCTAAAGAATGAAACGGCCGTACAGAGCTTTTCCGGAAGAGTGATGGTAGTCTGACCTTGTCTAGATGTGATGAATTTCCACTGATAACACATAAATTAAGGCGTCGAACAAATCCAGTAACGCTTGTCACAGAGGCTGAAATTGAATTGTAGAGTTTGACAGTACCGTTGTGAAGATAAAAAGGAAAAGCGAAACGGTACGAAGTGTAACGTTGAGGACGAGTAGATCCGAGAACAACACACTTCGAACACGGTCCCAGTGATCGGATTGACTTCAGGTTGGCTCAAAGTAAACCGAAGCCCCAATCGGGATTGCGTACCAACCACATGGTGACTACTCCGAAACCCGACGAGGATTATCTTTCACTTTTTCGCATATTCTGAGTATAGATTTGGTTTGGTTACACATGGTCAAACCGAGAGTACGCGACAGAGGCCGTTCTCCCTGACTAGGATTAAGTTGCTGTAGAAGTACATATTTCGCCAAGCGCTTCACACCTTACAATGTGTGGCTAGCAGCCAACTTATTCTTAATGGTTTCGGAAACACTTGAAATGAGTACTCGCTTGACTGACTATTGGTTGGAAGCAGCAAGCAGAGGTCTCTGTGTAACTGCATCTAATGTCACTCAGGGACCAAGACCCGTTATGTTGTGTGCCGTCAATGTATTTTATGTCGGCAAAGTGTTTGTCCAGGAATTTGTTAGATTCCGACGCCGACTTTGCCTCACTTACGTGCTGCGGCAGGTCGTTCCATACATTCATCGCTCTGCGTTCGTAACAGAGTTGGTGAGCGACCCGCTTCAAATTCGGTACGACAAACTTGTACCCGTGTCCTCGTGTGCTGCTTGGTGTGCGCAGATGAAGCAGCGGCCTCAACATGGGGTAATCAGCCAGATGTAATATCCGGTGCGTCATGATGAGGTCAACCCTCAGTCGAGGATAAGCTAGAGTGTACAGCCTTAGTTTCTCACACCGGTCTTCGGATGGCATACCTAGTAAATCAGCCTGGTGGCTACATGTTGCACTCGCTCAAGGTTTTCTACCTCACCCCGGGTGATAGGACAATACGCGGGAGAGCCATACAAATATTTGTATGTCATGTAGAGATGCAGCAGTAGACAAACCCCAGTAAAGGTAAAACAAAAAGGCGAGAATGCGGTGCGCTGGAGTCTATTGGGAACGAAGACCTGAGTCAAATTGCACTGAATCAGATCGCTATAGTTACAGCACGACAGATCAAGGACGCTGACCTCAGGCAAACACTAGTTTGCTGACCGATGTTTCCTGTCTACTTCTATTTTACCATAGGGTTTTGTTCTGTTGGCCTCAGCTTGTTCTGACCTTTGAGGCAGACGCTTGTTTTGACTTCTGGCTAGGAGATTCGTTTATCTGTGTTCAAGGAAATGCACATAATTAGTACCATACCGTTAATTTATTAGGTGTACCATCTCCATCTTGGGTCAACCTGTAACGGAGTTACTGACTTCCGTGCACGGCTATATTTGAGTCTGGGCTGCGAAGTGCTATCTGTCGCTGACGCTAGATTACAAGGCCTATCCATTTCAAAGACCTCTAATAGAAAATTAAGACTAGGAGATCCATTACCACTCTTTTGCTTACGACCAAGCGTTCGTCGCAACGAGAGTGGACCATAACGTGGTGCGACGCATTGCGTACCGCTTTGACCCACCGAGCTATACTGGGTGGTGCCCGCGGGATCCTTGAGAGCCACTCCTACCAGGTTGGTCAATGGTTAGAGGTTAGCCAAACTCAGTCACCTGTAAGCGGCCGAAAACACAAATATCATTCATGTAGGTAAC